CTAATACTTGAGCACAGGGAGACACTGTAAGGGCATCAGGATTACAACATTTTGGAACTGAGATAGGAAGGCATCTGTCTCACATTTGGCCTTTTTTGCACTTTTAAAATTAAGTACTTAGATGAAAAACACCGTTGAAAATCAATCCAGCAGGCTATTTACAAGATTGGATAAAAGCACTTGCAAATACAAATGGGACGGTTTTGGTAGAGAGCAGGGCTGAGAGAGATGACACAGCAGACAACTTTCAAACTGCTTTTATGATTTGGAGTATACAACACTATCTCAAAGGAACAAAAGGCTGAGATATATCCTTTTAGTGAAGGCTGATCAAAACAGGTGAGAAATCCGAATGGCCTTTTGGAGTGAAATTAATGATAAAAAATATTTCCCATTTACAGACTAAGCAAGCCCCAGAAATGAAACAGACGGATATCATAGAACTAATTCTCTATAGCTGGTATAAGAAGTGAATTCACCACCTAGCCTGAGAGAAGTTAATTCACATTTGAGGATATTCTCTCTCTCTCTCTCTCTCTCTCTCTCTTCTGACCAATTGCAACAGAATATCCTGAACATCATTGCTTTGGAATAACTGCAACACATAGCAATTAGGCCTATGGACACAGGAATGTAGAAGCAGCACTGTTTTTCAGATGTTACTCATCTCTCCTTAGTAAAATGTGATTAGTTTCCTGAGGAAGTGACCTTGTTTTACTAAATTAAAAATTAGGTTCCTACATCTGAATGCAGACAACAAATAAAATGAAATTCTGTTTAAACTTTGCTTCCCCCGCCCCCCAACTCCACAGATACTTAATTAAGTTGCCAAAATTTTTTACCACAGTCACTATTTATTACTGATACCTTCTGCTCAAATTCCATTGTTTTATGCTTTTAAGCAGCTAAGCTTATAACATCAAAGTCTTCCTTGAGCGGATGTTAATGTTGTAATCATCAGCACTCTCCATGCACTTCTTTCCTTTCAAATGATTTGTTGCCTTACTCTTTGCAACTAGTAGGCTTAAATGGGTGTTCATATTTTCATGTTTAAATGCGAATGTTACTTTCTCAGGACTCTGCTCAACACACAGAAATTTTGCTTAAGGAGTGCTGAACAAACTGTTGGAAAAAAGAAAATATATTCTATGTTTTCTATTTTTAAATACAAGAAACTCATAAATCTTGGACACAGATGGAATCAATTCAAATATGGCAAGATCATTTCAGGTTCACTGTATTGTACTCTGGGAATAAGGAAACAGAGATGAAGCCATTTCAAAATTATAAATCTGAGGTGCGTTAAAATAAAGCATTAGCTCCTCTACTTCTGCAAAGCAAGGTCACTCAGTCAAGTTCACTCGGAAAATCTTTTATAGGGTGTACAGAAAGGATGTGATCTCATTGGAGAGGGTCCAGCAGAGGGCAACCAAAATGCTGAGGGGGCTGGAGCACATGCCCTGTGAGGAGAGGCTGAGGGATTCGGGCTTGTTTAATCTGCAGAAGAAAGAGTGAGGAGGGATCTGATAGCAACCCTTAACTACCTGAAGGGAAGTTCCAAAGAGGATGGAGAGGAGTTGCTCTTAGTAGTGACAAATGGCAGAACAAGGAGCAATGATCTCAAGTTGCAGTGGGAGAGATCAAGGTTGGATATTATGAAAAACTATTTTCCTAGGAAGGTGGTGAACCACTAGAAGGGGTTACCTTGGGAGGTGGTGGAATCTCCATCCCTAGAGGTTTTTAAGTCCCAGCTTGACAAAGCCCTGGCTGGATTGATTTAGCTGGAATTGGTCCTGCTTTGGGCAGGGGAGTGGACTCAATGACCTCCTGAGATTTCTTCCAGTTCTAGGATTCTAGTTCAGCCTTGTGCAGAGGATCCATCTAAGCACTATAGGAAGGGTAAGGGGCTGCTGGAGCAGCTGGAAAAGACTATGCAACCCTTGTGCTCGATGGCCACGCTCAGATCAGTATGAGAAACAGCTTTCTGGATAGTGAAAGGGCCATGTTCCTAATCAGATCCAATGACTCTAGCAGTCTGAACAAGTGACTTTTTTCAGCACAGACCATAGGATGCCATACATGATATGACGCAAGGCTTGCTTCAGGCCCGGCGCCTATGCTGTAGGTGTTGGATTTTGCTTCCCCAGATACCCTGTATTTCATTAGCATAAAACCCAGGTACTCGGGATTTACGCAGGTGAGGTAAATTTCACCCCTACTGTTGCATACGACAGAGCCTATGCTTTTTTGAAATGTTTAGAAAGGCTTATTTGACATCCAACATTTTGCCAAGAATATCAAGTGCACTAAGGAGGAAGGAGAGGCAAAGGGATCTCTGAGCATATACTTGCAGTAGAGAGAGGCTTTTTTCCCATGGGGAAGGGCAGTTGTTTTTCAACCCCCATGTAAGAGTACATGGGAATTAAGGGTGCTCAGCCCCTTACAGCAACAAGTCCTTATAGAAAGGAGGGATAGCTCTGTGGTTTGAGCATTGGTCCCCTAAACCTAGGGTTGAGAGTTCAATCCTTGTGGAGGCCATTTGGGGCAAAGATTTGTCTGGGATGGTACTTGGTCCTGCTGTGAAGGCAGAGGATTGGACTCAATGACCCTTCCAATCCTAGGAGATAGGCAATCTCCATTATTTATCTTTTAATTTAATTTATGTCCCATACAGAAGAAAACAGTCCTTAGCCAGGATAACTTTAGGTTGAAAATATCTGCACATTTTACAGGGGTAGAGAAAGACTGAAAAACAAAGAGTACTCTATGCACCCTTATGGAAAAGGGGGAATGTGTTAAGTGACCATTTACCATTTATCCATTTATATTTTTCCCCTTGTTACTACATTTTTATGGTTGGTATGTGCTCAGAGCTGGCAAAAGCCATGCTCTGTAACAGAGGAAACAAAAACAAATCCAACACAATGGCCATTTTTAAAATAACATGCCTGTGTTACATTTCACTAAATGCCAGCTGTCAATTTATTTCCCAGTGTCCCTTTGCAAAATCTGAAGAACAAACTTTACTGCTCAATGCATTTCTAAGCCCTTTTCTAAAGTGAAAGTTTCTTGACTGCCACCTACTGTTCAAACCATTTTATCACTTCTTTTTTAGTGATACAAGATCCACCAAAGCCAAAAACATTTGCATTGTTTCCACCTTTAATATCCCAGGGAATTAAACAACAAATGTCTTTGGAATTTTTCTGAAAATAGCATTTTCTTTAATAAGAATTAAATTTACACAAAACTATTTTGCATTTTAAGAAAAAAATTATCTAGAAAGTTTCAGAGGGGTAGCCCTGTTAGTCTATAACTGGAAAAACTTAAAAAACAACAAATATCCTTGCAGCACCTTCGAGACTAACCATCTACATTTTTTGTTAGTCTCTAAGGTGCTGCAAGACTATTTGTTGTTTTTTAAGTTTATCTAGAAAGTGTTTGGATAAAACCCCTCCAGTATTAAATAGTTGTTATTATTGAAGGATTCCTATAATATTCTATGACAGGTAGCTATGTCATCTTCTTTCTTTCCAGATCTGTTGGATGACTTCAGCCCCAGTCCTGCAAACACTTACAAACATGCTTACCTTTACACACTTCTGGGGTCAATGTTAATTATGACCTCACCTGAATAAAATCTGGACTCTATTACAGCTCACTAAAGCTGGGTACCTTCTTCCAGCCTAAATGATGCATATCTCTAACTACTTTATAAGTCATATTTAAAATAGAAGTCTATTGTGGAAGACATAAAACAGCAGTATTCTGGTGGCAAACTGCTTTGTAAGAGTTACCTGCTAGACTGTGTTTGTTAAATAGCAAAGAAAACTTTTTAATGGTTAGATCTACTCGACTGCTGAACAGGTTCCCAAAAGCAGTAGCAGAAACACCATGGCTGCGTCTAGACTGGCAAGTTTTTCCGTAAAAGCAGCCACTTTTGCAGAAAAACTTGCCAGCTGTCTACACTGGCCACTTGACTTTGTGCAAAAGCACTGACGTTCTACTGTCCGAAATCAGTGCTTCTTGCGCAAATGCTTTGACGTTCCCATTTGGGCAAAAGCCCTTTTCCGGAAATGCTTTTGCTCAAAAGGGCCAGTGTAGACAGCTGAAAACTGTTTTGTGCAAAAAAGCCCCGATGGTGAAAATGGCAATGGGGCTTTCTTGCGTAAAACCGCGTCTAGATTGGCACAGACGCTTTTCTGCAAAAAGTGCGTTTGCGGAAAAGTGTCCGTGCCAATCTAGACGCTCTTTTCCGCAAATGCTTTTAACGGAAAAACTTTTCCATTAAAATCATTTGCGGAAAATCATGTCAGTCTAGACGTAGCCCATCAGTTTGGCCATTTAAAACCAGACTGTGGAAATTGTTAGATAATAAAGAAACAGTGGCAGAGGAATAAAATGTTTCTGTTTTCTGCTTCCAGAATACCTTTTGATATCACTTTGGTTCCTCTCATCAGTACATTATATCTCAGGGTGTGTTTAGACTATATCCCTCTTTCGACAGGTGGATGTAAATTAGACACTTGGAAATAGCAAATGAAGCCGGGATTTGAATATCCAACACTTCATTTGCATATTTTCATCATGGCACTCTTTCAAAAAAGCGCTATTTCGAAAGTGAAACTGCAGTCTAGACACGGTTCTTTAGAAAATAGAAGCTTTTTTCGAAAGATCCTGACAGGAAATGTAAGATGCCTAGTGCAACATGTCATTTTAATGTGCTCCAAAGGGAAGTTTTGGTCAAAAGTCAAACACCAACTAACAGACTGACGTGAAATACTAGGAATGCACTGCTGTATTATCACAATGCATTTGCTGTCTTCCAACACTGTACAGATTATTTTGGAACAATGCTGCAGAAGTCCATTAGCAAGTAAGTAAACTTGCCCAAAAGTATGAGCATCATCTCAAAACCCTTCGGTCAGCTAGAACATAAGGTTTTCAAATTTGTTTTTTTGGAAGGAGTGAAATCTTGATAACCTCTTGTTTAAACTTACCCGGCTTGAAATGGGGTAAAGAATGGACTCCGGGCCACGTATCTTCATTTGGTGTTCCAAGTACCTGTTAGGAAAAAAAGACTCCTGTAATTTTAGCACTGGCAATACCTGGCTCTTATATAGAGCAATGGTTCTCAAACTTTTTGACCTCTGCACTGCCTGGCTCAATGTAAACCTTTCCGCAGACCACCAGTTGGTAATGGAAACTCACCATTAATTACATAATTATACTCAAGCTATTTTGCTAATGCTGCAACTAGGGAGAACGGTTTAATTTAAATTATTAAACAGACTAAGCATTATAACTCTCCCATAGTTATTTTATCAAACTTCATTTTAAATAAAGTAAAATATTAAGTTACATCCAACACAAAAGGTTTCAATGTTTTCTCTATTTATGGCAGAAGTGGGGAACCTCCTGTTGGGATTGGTCCTGCCTGGAGCAGAGGGCTGGACTTGACGACCTCTTGAGGTCTCTTCCAGCTCTATGATTCTAATCTTTTTTGGGTTGGGGCCACTGACCAACAGAAAAATCAGTTGGGGACCACATAAGTAAGCAGCAAAAAGACTCTCCCAAAAAAAAACCAACCCTCACTGATGTGGCCCCCAACTGAGACACCTCATTCTTGCGGCGCTCCAACCCTCTGGGGCAAGGAGGAGGAACAGGGAGGACTGACGTTCAGGGCTTCCCATAGGCCAGATTTACTATTCTGGGGTTCTGGAGGTAGTGGATTTTATGGACCTCCCCCCTTAGACTCTGGGGTGGGGACAAAAATTAGGGGTTCAATATGCGGGACAGGGTTGCCAGCAAGTGGGATAGGGATGGGGTGCAAGATTTGGGAGGGAGGTGAAGTGCAGAAGTGTCAGCCGACGGTCAGGGCAGTGTGTGTGCTGAGAAAAGGTTTAACATCCGTGACTTTACTGCTAGGACCGGGGTCCCGTCGCAGAGGGCAGCCAACAGGCTGACAGACGCCCCTGTTTATAGGAAGAGCTTATTACACCTCAGATTTTAGCTGCTAGGATACAGGATCCCTTCGCAGCGGGCAGTCTAGGGAAGACTGAGAGATGCCCCAACGGATCTGTCACCTGGGAGTAACACGATCCAAACGCCCAAGCTCTTCCTATACCTGTCCCTTATGACCGGCTGAAGTTCTTTTAAATTGTGCTTGGTTCTCTTACAGCAACTGAAGGAGTCAGGTTAAAACTTAAACAGTTACAGGTTTATTTTTTTAAAAATTCTTAACTGTTAGCAAATACAGATTTTAAAAATAGTTACAAAGAAAATAAAGATAGAAAATAGAAATAATGGTACCAAGTGACAGCTTAATCTTTAAAGAGCTCTAAGTCTATGTGTACACTTAAGACAAAGGACCACATCCAGGTACAATTTTTACCCCCTTCTGTGCCTCTCGACTCCAGCATGTCAGGCAAGGGCCGGTCCCTCAATTCCTAGGAAAGACGGATACGAGGTGGGCATCCCCATAGAACCTCGGGAGGTCAAACACCAAATCCAACCAGCAGATAGATGGTAGATTGACGCTCAGAGTAAATGTGCTGCTGGACCCATCTTTATACCCCTGGGGGCCCGTTTCTTCTTTCTTATTTTAAGATGCCAAATTGTACTGGTTCATTTTGTGGCGCCAGTTCTTACAAGCAAGTTTCAAGTTAATTTACACTTGTGAGAGATAACTAAATTGTGTGTACTAGACTTTTTTTTTTTACTGGGCGAGAGATTCCTCCCCGCCCCCCGAACGGCTGCATGTTCGTATCAATATGGGATTTTAGTCAAAGGCACTCCTCGGCAGCCTCTTGGTCAGCAATTGGCATATCTCTGTTTATAGCCATTCACGGTCACAGCAGCCTGCCATATCCGGGCAAGCAAAAATGGATGTTACAAGGAGGGTTCCTGTCTGGCTACAAGAAGGAGGAGAGATTGCTAGGTCTGGGTGGGAAGTAGGGTGCAGAAGCTGGCTGGGGGTAGGGTGTCTGGCCAAAAGGGAGGGTGCAGGAACAAGGGAGGGTGTGTCAGAGCAATCTGGGGGTGAGGGGTTTTGGTGGGGGGAGGGAAGTGAGAGGGAATAGGGTGTGGTGGTCTGGGCATGAGTGCGGATGCTTATCTGACTCCAGATAGCATGCAGCTGTTCCCCCAGTGGGGTGAGGAGGGGGAGGGAGGGAGCTCAGCCCCTCCCAACACAGCAGGGAGCCCTAAGGCTGTAGCACTAGCTCCAGCTTCCCGCTGGATGGGGGTGAGAGGAGGTGAAGACAGACCCAACCTTCCCCGCCAGATTAGGCTCATGGAAAGTGGCAGAGTAAGCAGCTCCATGCTCTGCTGTTGCCCCGGAAGGTGGAGAGGGGTGGGTGGGGGGAGGGAGAGAGAGAGAGAGAGTGGCAGCACAAGGAGTGCAACTGACGAGCCTGAGTGTGCCCCACCCTGCAGCACCCCTGCCGGGACTGAGATGACAGATCCAAGGCACCAGTCTGGAAGCGTCTCCCACAGGGTTTTGCTTCTGACCATTCCCCACCACCCCGGCAGTGGCAATGGAGGCCACTGTAACAAATAACAAGCAGCCTGCCACCTGGGAGGAGGAAGGAGTGCAGCCAGACAGGGGGCCCCAGGTCTGCAGGGGAAGGAAAGGAGGTGCTCATGGTGGGGACTTGCCAGGCAGCAGTGTGCACTGCGCTGGAACTGCAGTGTGAGCTGTAGCCGGTAATGAGGGGCCGTTGGGAGACACCACGCATGCCATGGGCCAGTGGGAAGAATGAGCAGCCAGGACCAGGCCCACACAGTGGCGGTTACAGTGACACCATTTTGGGGACACTTTCCCACGGACCACCTGTAAGTAGTGGTCAGCAGACAGCACTTTGAGAACCACTGATAACAGAGCCATTCTTCCACAGACCTCAAAGCACTTTACAATTCAAACTGTAATTAAGATTAATTAAGGAAGCTCATAGCAAAGTCAGAAACCAGATACAGGAACCCTGACTCCCAGGCCATTACCCTTTGTCAGTAAGATGGATTGTCCATCTGATGACACATATATTAAATCTGACATTTCACTGACAAATGTCAACCTATCTGTACATCACAGAAAGCAGAAATGGCCCACACTAGGCCTTTGAGCTCACTGGTACTTTAGATCTTTATCATCCTAAATAAACTGAATGGCCATATACATATATATTCAGCTCCAAGAGTTTGCTAACTGTTACATAGCATAGTAGATGTATGCAGATTGTGAACCAAAGTCCTACAAATTCCAAAGGAAACAAACTTAAAAAGAATGGCCTTAATTTTACACTAATTTAGTGCTCATAAAAACTGTGATTGGAGATAGCAATTCTCCATCTATCCACAAAACAGCTTCTTCTTCTATTTTCTTCTGTGCAGGTTCTTATGCTGCCCTTATAATATCTGAGTGTCTTCCACCAGTGTATTTAGTGTTGTGATTAACATCTATCACATGCGGTTTGTTCTCACGCACATGCTTTACCCAGGGGAATTTGCAGCAGCCTATTGTAGAGTAGCTTGAAATTGAAATAGATGGTTAGGCAGGTAGCTTAAATTTTAATTTGTACAATCTTAAATAATTGGGATTTGTATTTGTTGTTCACAGTAACTCTGTTCTATATACAGTAACATTAACATCACAACCAATGGTTTAAAATCTGACTTGTAAAAATATAAATGTTATCTCTAAGGGCTACATTTATTAAAACTATTGAAAATTAATCACTGGAATTTGAATTAACATTAAAAGCAGGTAAATGTACACAACTGAGTATTCTAATTGTTGTTATTAACCAAAAGAATGGTGGTTTGTGCTGATGCTGGGGCACCTGGCAGTAGCCATTGTCAGAAGACAGGATACTGGGCTCGATGAACTTTTTGGTCTGACGTAGTATGGCTGTTCTTATAATTTTCTATATTTATGAAAAGTCAATATACAAAATTCATTTATAAATCTAACTCTCCCAGTTCCAGTACAAGCAGTCGTGTCTCAGACTAAATGCAAAAACAAATTTAAGGATACATTCTAACACCCCTCTATTTTATTGATCGCGCAGGGAGGAGGTAAAAAGAAAAAAAAATCACCACTGAAAGAGAAAATAAAAAGTAAAGATGGGGGGCCAGTGACGTCATTGTGCTTCTGTTGAGCAAAAAAAAACCTAATTAGAGCAAAAAGATCCCTCCGAATAACTTTAAAAGAATGCTGGTTTCTTGTTGTAGAGATCTGACGCAGCAGTTATGATTTCTTTTAGTGCACAAAAGTCAGGTGTATCACTACAAGCAGAACCTGAATATTTACAAGCTGTGACCAAGAGCACGCCTTCCCATCTGCACCTTGCAAGAAGAATATGACCTTTCCTTCACAATGTGCATCTTGCCAGACTATCCATGCCTTCTCACCTCAAAACTGGATTACTGTATTGTGCTCTATATGGGGGGGGGGGGGGGGGTCACTCACTGACACCACCTGGAACTCAGGACACAGATGCTTGTTGACTAAATGCCATTGCACTTTTCAGGGCATTTTACATCTGTGTTCAAAGAATCGCACTGGCTACGCTCAAGTATCTGTGTGAAACCAAAATGATTGTTTTGGCCTACAAAACCCTTTATAATTTGGACCTGGCTGCTTGAGAGACTGCCTCCTTTCCAGGCAGAGGCAATTACAGTACAGCCCGCTCAATGAAAGAAGAGGGAGCTACTGGCAAAGGGTCCCTCCAAAGGGTCTTCAGCTCTGGAATTCACTCACATCCCTTGGTTTACCAGAATCACTTTTGTTTAGCTTCAATGCAGGCAGCAAGCCTCTCTTTTCTCTGAGGCCTTTGGGAATGGGGTGTGCAAAGGAGATTTCATTCAAACCTGCCATAGAAATGTTTTTAATTTTTTTTCATTGTGTCTGTCACATGCAATATACCTCTCTGTATTGAATGTTGGAATGGCCTGAGCAATCTGTGATATTTATTATGAAAATTAATTTTATGTAAGGTCAACCAGAGCATTGGCAGAGATCTGTGCATGTTAGCTTACAGCTGAGGTTTTAGAGCTCTTGCTCT